TGTTTCCCAAAAATTGATGGGATTTTTGGATTCTAAAGAAAAAAAAATGTGATTGTGTGTGGCTTAATTGTGCTGGTAAAATCTTGTTCTATTGTATGTTTGTAGTAGAGTTTGAGGGAAAGTGGTAAAGAAACACAAGAAAGCTAAACAGTGTATAGACTATTTCTGAATGGTTAGAGTCAGATGTGTGATCTTTGTATACAACGACTAGACTGAGTAGTTTGGTATTGTGTTTGGAAAATTATTCAGCAAGCCATGGACTTTTGCATTTGTCTTACTATGGAACACATGGCCCAAGAAATCTGACAGAAAAAAGACATAAGATATGATTTGATAATCATAATAGTTGAACTCTCCATAATTCTTCGTCTTTCCTGTAATCATATAAACAATTATGATCAATTATCTATGGGCATGCACTAATGTTTTATACTTTCAGTACTTACGCAATTGGCCTGTAGTTTTGTTGAAGTATTCTAAGCAAGCACGTGTCTGACTGTTTGGTATGTATATTAATACTGATAAGTCAAAAATATTACCCAGCAAGAACAATTTAAATTCTTTCCTGTAGTACAGTCAAACAATATATATTACTGATAATGATAATAGAACATTTTTCAACTAATGAGACTCTTAATTAGTATATTTGCCAATTCTAATATTAAGCAATTAAGCATCTTTCTGCAGCATCTTTCTGGGTAATTAGACCATTCTCACCAGAAATTTACCTGTAGATCTTATAGATAGTATTGAATATCGAAAACTGAGATGTATCTATGAAATATTCAGGAGCGGGGAACTTAAATGTTTAATATATATTCATCTTTGGATATCTTTGAATTAAAACTAGGAAATTGAATATCGAAAACTGAGATGTATCTATGAAATATTCAGGAGCAGGGAACTTAAATGTTTAATATATGTTCATCTTTGGATATCTTTGAATTAAAACTAGGAAAAGAACATATATTAAATATATTTCATTTTCTGTTGATCTCTTCTGAAATGATCATATTACTTAGTTCATCCTATTAGTTAAATTGGCAGGCCGCAGAAGAGATATATATACAGTTAAATTATGGTCAACCAGATGATACTTCTTATAGTTATCTATAGTTAATTTCATTAATTTATTGGGAATTTTCAGCAGTACACGTTTCATTATGCTTCCTTGGTAGTAATATTATAAATCATCATCATCAAGGTACTGTCATCCACTGCATTGTGAGTGCGTAATTTGAATTGTTGAAGACATTAATTTACTAATGAATCCCACAACTCAAGTCATTTTAAATATGTTTCAACATATTGCTTCATGGCGATGTAACCACGCACGCGTATCCCCAACATTGGGAGCATATAATATGATGAATCCTTGGATGTGGGTGGATAAAGATGTATTATGATACACTATTATCAATACTCTTTGAAATTGTAATGCATATATGGAGCCATAAGTGTTCGGATTGTTCAATAACTCAGTGTTAACATCTTGATTCTGTTCAACACAAAAGTATTGAGAAATGCTATCGGCCGAGGGCTCTCTCTCAATCTGAGTCATTGGATTTGAAAGTCCAAGGGGGGAACAGGCCTATACGATACATAACTTGGTTACCAAAATATCAGTCTTCCTTAAGTATTGAATATTCGATAACTTGGTTACCAAACTATTGTTGGCTCGAGATAATTCAGGTTAACACTTCAATCAGCTTAGAACTAATCCAAATGGGGATTGAGCTTAAACTTCACATAATGCATTTTGTTGTACAGGATTCATTATGTTATTAAGCCTAATAATTAAGTTAAGTCTGGATTATAGTAGTTCATGCAAGGGGAAAAGGATTCATATATCTAGATTCTAGACTCAACCGGTCGGCTCAGTTAATCAGCTGAACCCTATTTTTTCGCTCACCCCTGATTAAAAAGATAGCAACTTTGCTTAACAATCTAACTACTTCAATTAGCATTTACACACAAGCACAACACGTGTAGATGCGTAAGCTATTTTACACATGCAAGCACAACTTATCTAATCTGAATTTCTTTAATGGACTCTTTTTCAACAATGGACTGTTGACTTAGACCTGTTGAAACTTGGCTCTCAACACATGATACGTTCAATGTGGACAGTGGCGTGAATTTTGTTGGAGCAAAAGTAATCTTAATGCAAACTTAATAGTTAAAGAGGCATCCATATATTGGAAACATAAGTGGATATATAAGAGCATGTGACAAGGAGAGGAATACGCTATTTTTTACATCCACAAATAATAAAAGCTGCTCTATCGCAAATTCGCAATTTCCCAACACAAGGTAAGAGTTAATTTGACTATAACTTTCAACTAACTATAATTTCCAAGATTCCGCTTAATTTTTATGGGAAATATTCGGATTCCGTGAATAATCAATGTATTGAATTTGATCATGCCTTAAACTTTTTTAAGATTAACTTGAAATTAATGTATTCAACTACTTTCCTGATCAACGAAAACACGAAAAATTTAAGCAGTGAAATATTAATGAATAAACTATCTCTGGGTAACCGAACAGTTTGCTAAGGGACTCTTGAGTATATTACTCAAGAGGTTCTGAGTTCAAGTCCTTCTTTGGGTGTTAATAGAGATAATCATTGAAACTCTTATTCAGCTGGTAATTTCAGGATTCCTAAGGATTAGTTGAGGTGCGCGTAAGCTGACCCGAACACTTCCGATTATCAAAACAATATATATATATATGAGATCCAGCATGGCTATTGGTTGAGCTAGCATTTATTAAGACTATATATTTGTGTAATATGTCAATATATATATATATGAGATCCAGCATGGCTATTGGTTGAGCTAGCATTTATTAAGACTATATATTTGTGTAATATGTCATATTGATCAAACCAGGTTTACAAGTCCTTTCTAGTGAAATTGAATTGGGTGATATTATTATCAGTGCAGACTGTCACTTTTTACTTCCAGATCGTACTGGATTGGCTTAGATATTTCACTTTCAATAATTATCATCATATAAAAATTGTTTTTATTATTTAATTGATCGAGTAACTTACTGAAAAATAAAAGATGCTGAAAAAAAAGCTGGATCTAACATCATGGAATGGAGGGCAAGAGAGCCTCCTATTAGGATGATTAATTTTCCCGGGAATTTCTATGTGCATGTGATACTGGAGAAGGGGGAAGAACTGCTATTAATTTATATTTATTTTAATTAAATGCTGAAAATTATGTGAAGTAATATAAGAAATATACGAAGAAGCTATACCAGATAGACCTTGAATAAACTATTTTACAACTTACGGAAGTAGCTTGGAAGTTTTTTGAGTTTATTTCGAGTGTTAAAATTTGAAAAATATTTATATTCTATAAAATCGACTTGATATATTATTGTACACATTAAAGACTTTTTGGTAATTTAATTCTTTGAAATTTAAATTTTTTACATTTTTTAACCAAACAATTACAAATTTTCCAGAAAAGCTATATTTTCATAAGAAATAATTGTTTCATTAATAAGGAATGATTGTTACTTTTTAATGAACGGTTATTTCTTATGCATGAACAATTGTTCCTTTGTAAAGAACAGTCATTCTTTATGAAAGAACGGTCGTTCGCCTCTAAAAAAAAAACGTTCGTATTTAGTTAAAATCATTTAATGTCTTAGGTGTGGTGGAAATGGACATGACAATTGACAACTCAACTGATATATTAAAATTGTAAGAAAAAGTTGTAAAATTAGATTGTAATCATAGTATTACTCGTTATAGAAACCAAATTAAAAGATGTTTTTTGAGGAACACAAATACTCAACAATAATAATATTGATCTGCCTAGCAATTAATTTTACCTTTTAGTTTGGTCTATTATTTATGATAGCTAGACAATGTACTTCATATCCACAGACAAAAAATAAATGTAAAGGGTCATCATGCATCTCATTAATTAATTGATGGAAAATTTTCACTACTCTTTGATCGTTTTTTCTTTTTCATTTTAAGAGAAAATTAATGGCCAGCAATTTTTATGGCATTGCATGTGCTCATCTTTCTGGTACCCAGCCAGCCAGCCAGCCAGCCAGGGTTTTCAACCTTTTTCCAACATTTTGTTATATATATAGCGCAAATCTAACCTCGAAGTATTATCAAACATCTCAAATGCGGTAGTGTGTATTTTTTTTTCGCAATTGTAAACTTAAGAAATTATGTAGAAAATTTGGATTTGTTTGGTATGAAATTTAGGGTTAATTTCATGGCCCTTCAAAAGATACTTAAGTCTTTACGAAATAGTATTAAAAACTTGTATAAGGTTGTTTTTTTATTATTTATATATTTATAAGAGTTTAATGATATTTTAAGTAGTTTTTAATGCTTTTACGAGGTATTTAATTTTAGGGCATTTGTGATCTCAAAGCAGATAAATTAACCCTAAAACTTAAAAACAATGTTTTATTTTTTAAGAGGCGACTCTTTGCTCTTAACTCGTAAGTGATTGCTCCTTTGACCGTCGGTTTGAAGAATGAATAATTACCCTTACTAGCCACAATTGGTCGAGTGAACAAAACCACATTAGAAGATAATAAAACGTTTCAACCAATTCCAAAAATAAATAAAAATTTGTATTAAATTAGAATTTCTATATCAAGTAGGAAAAAATGTGTATGGTATAATCTATTATCAATAATGAATAAAATGTGTACGGTATAATATAAACCATTTGTAAAACTTAATAACATTACCCAAGTAGTGATAACACGTTTAGCACAAATTAAGCATAAGATTTAGAAATAATTAATACAATCATAGAGACATTACAACTTCCCATGCACGAAGAAATATACTTCTTCATTACGTCCATTCTTAGACCAACGCCATGCATACATAAACATCAAGAAGATCTCATTAAGCCAATAAGCATTGTTTTTTTTTCTCTAACATTTTCGAACGCCATCAGAGTTAAAGAATCACTCAGCAGTGTAGCTGGATAATTGCATGTTGTTTAGTGGCCGCCTCCACCAGCTCCAAATCCTGCTCCACCGCCAAACCCACCACCCCCGCCCGCACCAAACCCACCTCCTCCACCGAAACCACCACCACCTCCTCCACCGAAACCACCACCACCTCCTCCACCAACTCCACCACCAACACCTACACCTTTCCCCAAACCCCCACCAGTTCCAAACCCTCCTCCAGCACCACCACCAGCTCCTCCACCACCGCCAAATCCACCTCCTGCACCGCCACCCCCACCCCCCCTAAGCCTCCACCCCCCCAGACCGCCCCCTCCACCTGCTCCACCACCTAATCCTCCACCCCCACCAAGTCCTCTCCTCCCACCCGCTCCCACCACCTAGACCCCCACCACTCCTCCACCTAGACCACCACCATGACCAATCCACCTTCTCCACCTGCTCCCCACCTAACCCCCACCAGCTCCTCCACCAGACAACCACCATGGCCAAGTCCACCACCTCCGCCTAGACCACCCCCATGGCCAAGTCCACCTCCTCCACCTAGACCACCACCATACCAAGTCCACCCTCCCTCCACCTAGTCCACCCCCCATGACCAAGCCCTCCACCTCCACCTCGACCCCACCTCCTCCTAAACCCCACTATGACCAAGCCCTCCACCGCCTCCTAGACCCCCACCACTCCTCCACCTAGGCCACCACCTCACCCCCTCCAAGACCCCCCCAGCTCCTCCACCTAGGCCACCCCCTGCACCACCTCCTAGACCCCCACCAGTTCCCCTCCGCCACCACCACCTGAACCACCACCCCCCCCTAGACCACCTCCACCACCCCCAACCGCCACCGCCACCACCCTAGTCACCCGCCACCACCATGCCTCCACCAAACCCATGCCCTAGACCACCTCTTTAAAAATAGCGGATGAGGAAAAAGGTGTTTATCATCAATCACCCTTTACCATTATCACCCAAAACCAAACCATTTAAAACCAAAACACAAAACACAGTAACCACAACTCCACGAGCTAGAGCACTCATTGTAACAATTCACTTAAATAATCAAAGAAAGAAGAACAAGAGCAAGAGCTCATTGCGCCTGTATGCATGATAAGTGTAGTATATATAGTGAAAGAGCTAGTTACTTCATGTTAAAAACCCCAACTGCCACGCTTCGATGAGTAAATGAGGCTCATCTGTCATTGCATAAAATTTATTTGTCCAACTGTCCTTCCCGTTTCAATCTCAATTGAACCACTGTTCCAAAGAACTTGAGTGTTGACTAGCGAGGTTTCTTTAGGTATTTTTTATGCAAAAATGAGTCAACTTGATTTGGATGGGGCCAAAAGTGTTGATAAATCAAGAGAGAGAGAAGATTGAACCCTAATGTGATTTCATTTAATAGGTTTCCAAGCCATTAATGGCGGAACCAAATTATGTGCACGCTACAGTACATGGATAGTAATGAATTTCTACGCGTGAAGATGGAAGACATGACGTATCGCTGTTATGGGGAGACTGCGGCTGATTGCTCTGAATTATGCTCTTGTTGAAAAATGGCTTTTAGCAAAATCACATGGGGTAAAGTGATAAGGGAGAAGTTAGGGCCTTATATGTAATGGGCCAAAATAGTTTTTTGTCCCACATTGAAAAGGAATGAAAAGTGGGAAACTTTTGGGGTCTAATATAAGGACCTAAATCAATGTTAGTTGTCCCAAGTTGTAATTCCATTATACTTCTTTTGTTTAGGTTCTTTCTTTAAGGACCCTTTAGTTTGCAAGTTTTGTGTATCTCCCATTTGTTTTGGGTATTTGTGTATTGCCCAAATATTTGTAATATTGTTTGGAGATAGTGGAGCTTTTTTTTTGCAGCGCCCGAGAACGTAGTTTTAATACCGAACCTCGTTAATTCCGGTATTCTTATTTTTGCATTTAATTTTGGCAATTATTTATGCTTTACTACTTGTATTATTATATTCAATAAGCTAGCGTTAGAGTTTATGTTTCCGTTGCATACAATTGGTATCAGAGCCTAGGTTTAGGACAGTGAGTAGCTATTTGTAGGGTTATATGCATGTTTAGGAAATTCTGTCAAAAAGCGATAAAAGTCTAAGGAGACTGGATTTTAAGTGGGACCATTTGTGACCCCTCTATTTGTCCTGGGAATTTTCCTGGTGCTTATTTAATCATTTCAGCACTTACACTACCTAGGGCTATTGTGATTTGTTGTTTAGCTATTGAATATAATATTTTGTGGAGCTTGGTTATTGGGAATTTTGTTTACCAAGCCAATTGAGTAAGGCATAAATGGCATCATCGTCCGAGGATTCATCGTCCGAGCATCACCGTCTGCGGCACCACCATCCGCACCAGTAAAGATGATAACGTTTCAAATGCATTTATGTTGAAAAATTTGATGGTCAAAATATTTGGCTTGGTGGCAGAGTGAGGTAATGGATAGCTTGTATCAGCAGGATCTAGATATCGTTCTGGAGGGGAAAAACCAGAAGATGTCTATGAGAAAGACTGGGAGGTTGAATGTAAAAGCATGGGATGATTCGCTCATGTCTTTGTAGAGAGCAGAAACATCCATTCATTTAAGAGACGTCTGCCAATAATTTTGGAAGGCACTGGAAACAAATAGAAAAAAGTAATGAGAATCGGCTATATTTGATGAAAAGACTGTTTCGTCTTCAGTTGAGACCAGGTACAAATATCAGTAGCCATATGATACATTAAACAGATTAATTGTTGATTTGTTAATTTGGATGAAACATTCAAAGATGAGCATAAGGCTATGTTTTTAATTGATCTCTTCCAGATGAGTTGGACTATCTTAGTATTACACTTCTTCATGGGAAAGAAAATTGTCCTTTGAAGAAGTTTGTTCTGCTCTGTCCAATCATGAAATTCGGAAGAAGGATCAGAAGGAGAATAGAGATGATTCAGCAGAAGCTCTTGTAGCAAGAGGGCGGAGCACAAATCAGAGTCGTGAAGGAGAGAAGGGGAAGATCTCGTTCAAAAGAACTCTTAGGGATCAATGTGCCTTTTGTCTGAGAAAGGGCATTGGAAAAAGATTGTCCGAAGTTGCAAAAGAAAGAGGGCAAAGCTACTTCTGATGCATACTTTGTTGAACGTGAAGAGAATGAGTCTGATTTCGGTCTAGTTAGCTTACCATCCACCTCTGGATCAAATATGGATTATGGATTCAGGTTATACCTATCATAGGTGTCCCCACAAGGAGTGGTTCTTTAATTTGAAGAACATGGTGGTTGTTTATATGGGCAATGATGATGCTTGTAAAACAACTGGATAGGTTCAATTCGGTTGAAGAATCATGATGGCTCAACTAGAACTCCGACAATGTTCGGTATGTACCGAAGTTGAAAAGAATCTCATCTCTTTGGGAGCCTTGGAATCTAAAGGCTTCACAGTGAATTGCGAGATGGAATTCTAAAAGTCTCTTCAGGTGCTCTTGTGGTAATGAAAGGCACGAGGAGAACAACTGTATTACTATATAGGTAGTACAGTTATTAAACGATTGCTGCAGTCTTGCAGAAGGATGCAGATTCAGAAATGCTCAAGTTGTGGCATATGCGTTTGGGGCATGCGGTGAAAATGCCTTACTTAGTTTGGTGAATCAAGGCTTATTGAAATGTGCAAAGACCTGTAAGCTGGACTTCTGTGAGCATTGTGTTCTGGAAAACAGACAAGAGTGAAATTCGGCACCGCAATCCATAATCTAAGAGTATTTTGGATTATGTTCATTCTATGTGTGGGGACCTACAAAAACAACATCTTTGGAGGTATGCACTATTTTGTCACTTTTGTAATGATTTTTCAGAAGATTTGGGTGTATGTGATAAAAACTAACGATAACGTACTTGGTGTTTTCCTTAAATGGAAAAAGATGATTGAGACTCAGACTGGTAGAAAGATCAAGCAGCTACGTACAGATAATGGTGGGGAGTACGTAGTGATCCGTTTTTGAAATTTGCCAAGATGAAGGAATTGTACGCCACTTTACAGTAAGAAATATCCACAGCAAAATGGGGTGGCAGAACGCATGAATCGAACTATACTGGAGAAAGTTCGATGTGTTGTCCATTCTGGGTTGGGCAAAGAGTTTTGGGCTAAGGCAGTTATATATGCGTGTCATCTCACAATCGTCTACCATCAACTGCAATTGAAGGCAAGACGCCGATTGAGTATTGTCTGGAAAACCTGTTTCTGATTATGACCTTTACATGTTTTTGGTTCCACTGCTTATTATCATGTGAAGAGTCTAATGTTAGATCCTACACAAAGAAAGCAGTATTTATGGGGATTACCTCGGTGTGAAAAGATACCGTCTTTGGTGCCAAGTTCGAAGAAAATACTGTTTAGTAGGATGTGACATTTGATGAGTCTTCTATGTTAGAACAAAAACAGGAAGCCAGTTAGGTTTTCAGTACTTCCGCAACAGGGAGGCATACTCAACAGCAGGTGGAGTTTGAAACAACATCATTTAGCCGAGCTGGAAATGTGACTCCTATGAAGAGGATTCATTGGAGATGAAGAAGAGGATTCTTCCCAAGAACCTCAACAAGAATCCATTGCTGTTAATAGGCCAAGACGAGAAATTCGCAAGCCTGCTCGTTTTGCTGATACGGTGGCCTATGCACTCCCAATTGAAGATGGTGAAGTTCCTTCCACTTATAATGAAGTAGCTAGCAGTTCCGAAAATGGTAAGTGGAGGAAAGCCATGAAAGAAGAGATGCAGTCTCTCCATAAGAATGAAACTTGAGGTTTGTTCAATTACCAAAGAATAAGAAGGCAATTGAATGCAAATGGGTATATGCAAAGAAGAAGGATTTCCGAATTTGAAAGACATCCGATACAGGCAAGGTTGGTGGCGAAAGGCTACGCTCAGAAGGAAGGAATAGATTTCAATGAGGTATTTTCTCCATTTGTAAAGCATTCTTCCATTAAATTTTTGTTGCCTTGGTTGCTCAGATGAATCTTGAACTTGTTCAACTGATGTGAAAACCGCGTTTCTACTGGTGATTTGGAAGAGGAAATCTATATGACTCAGCCAGAAGATTTAGGAGTATTGGGAAGGAAGATTGGGTTTGTAAACTAAAAGATCGCTTTATGGTTTGAAACAATCTCCGAGGCAGTGGTACAAGCGATTTGATAGGTTTTGATGGGTCAAGAGTACACAAGAAGCAAATTTGACAACTGTGTGTATTTTCAAAGGCTACAAGGTGATACTCTCATTTATCTACTCTTATATTGTTATGATATGTTGATTGCTTCAAAGAATGTAAAGAAATTGAAAGTTAAAGGCCAACTAAATCAAGAATTTGAGATGAAGGATTAGGGGAAGCCAAGAAGATTCTCGGTATGGAGATATTAGATATAGAAAATGGCAAGGTTTGTTGGACACAAAAGCAGTATCTAAAGAAGGTCTTACAACGTTTTGGCATAACTGAAAGTACAAAACCTGTAAGTACTCCACTTACTCCTCATATAGCTTAATGCGTCATTATCTCCAAGTACGCTGAAGAACGAGAGTATAGTCAAAAGTTCTGTTTCAATCGTTGGTAGCTTGATGTATTCAATGGTGTGTACTAGGCCCGACATTTCACATGCAGTTGGATTGTAGGTATAGCATGATTCTGGTAAAGGACATTGGCAAGCTGTGAAGTGGATTTTACGGTATATTATAGGTACTGTAAACATTGGTTTGGTTTTTGAGCGGATGAAAATCTTAGTCAATTTGCTGTTGGCTATGTTGATTTTGATTATGCTGGTGATTTGGACAAGCTCGGTCAACTACTGGATATTGTAGACTTAAAAATCTACCTGTACAAAAGAGGGGTCTGATCCCGTGAGGTTAGGCCACTAGCGATCTGCTGTACCTGCACAAGTAGAGAACCACGCGTGAAGCGAACGGGAAACACCAGGTGTTGTTTGCCGTAGGCACTCCGACGCTCAAATCAGCAAGGCTAAAAGGCTAATATAGTGAGTGCTAGGGAATGGGAGATTACCGGAATTCTA